CATGCACGCTATTCGGTTTAGCGATATCTCTCTATTACGGTGTTTATTGTTATTTTACGCCAGTTTATTTTTGCGCACAGGAAATTTGACTCGTTTGCACATCGTCATAAAAAACAATTTTCGTACCACGAATTAGGGACAAGATTTTTATCTGTATACTTATAGGATACCTAATCTGTGCTGCTACTGTCAGCATAAACGTAGAAACCTTTGAATAGAAAGATTAAGGGATGGGTATAATGCTGTGTAGGTATTCATATATGGACCCTAGAGTAGGGATCCTTGACAGTTGACTCTGACTATTTGATACATTTGAATTTGATTTGAAATTTTGTGCATTTGTCTGTCTTTACTGAGTTTATTTTATGTTATCTACTATTTATTCTACAACTGGTAGTCGTTTAGAGGTAGTAAATATAGAAGAAAATTGTGACAGAATATAAATTAACAGTGACTGTAAACAGTAAAGACTGTAAAATAGTTGGTTGTGTGACGTAGAAATAGGTCGAAAATCGAGGGAAATAATGGAATAACTTTTCACTGGTAGGTGATTATAATAATATACATACGTGTAGTAAACCGATCATTTATGAAATTCACTTAAAATTATCTAATTATGTATATATTTTTTTCTTGCATTTTCGCTTTTATTTACTATTTGTCAAAGATAATTATGAAAGATTCAGTAGCGTATCGGATGTTCGTGTTATTAAATAGTTATTATAGCTTATCTATTTTTATTAGAATTATATATTTTTATACCAATTTTAATAATTACCAACATTTATTGACAACGTAAAGTAAAACAACAAATTATTGAGTCTACCCTACATCATTTACATTTACACGTTTTGAATAAAATTGGAACGGCACTGATAAATCGGAATTTAAGTCGGCCATTTTTGGTCCCCATCGCGCTCGACCTAAGTTTTTCGATATGCTCCTTCCTTAATCTTTTAATTCAAAGGTAGAAACGGATATAAACAAGTCCGGGACTCTATCATTATTGGTTATGGAATTTGGTATAGAAAATAATATTTTTGAGAATGTATTTTATGAGAAAGAAGAAAAGAGATTTATGAAAAAAAGTCCTTTGCCTCGGGAATAGATACCTAACGGTCGTGGAAACAGTTCGAAATTGACCGAGACAACAGGAAAGGCAAAAAAATCTCCTCACGCCCTTCTCCGCAATTTCACGAGTAGTTTCGAGGCTCTTTTAAGAAGTGAAAATAGGTCAAGACTAATGACTAAAGAATATAAGGACATGTAACGCCCATATACGGGCTGCAGCAGAATTTGTAACCTTAGACACCCTTCTTTTGATGGCAAACAATGAGTCATCATCTGGTCACCAGCGACAATTTTAGCGATTTTTAATAGTTTGTGTGTAGTGAACTTTGTATAAACTTTATTACAATGGTGATTAGTTGTTCAGCTTTCAAGTGTAAAAGCAGCAGCGATAAGAAAGAGCCAGGAGTTACGTTTTCATAGGTAAATAAACAGTACGCTCCACCTTTTTTAGCGTTTTCTTAGTTTGCTTATTGAATTCGATAATCATTTTTCTGATATTATATGTACTTGATGTGTCCTATACGTCGATACTAGTTTTGTACTTTTTGTTAACATTTTAATACGTTTTTTTCGTAATTAATTAGTATGATACCTACGTATACACCATAGGCGTAGTCAAAACATTTATCAAAAATATAAATATCTCTTTAAACAACTGGGTTAAGAAAAATATGTGTCACGGCACTGTTTGGTGACATCGTCACAATTTGCTCTCGGGTGTTATTTGTCCTTGGATTCTTTAGTCATTGGTCAAGACAAACTGAAATAGGCCAAGACAACCGACAACCAGAGAACATATTCGAATAAAATTAGGAACATGTTTTTTCACATCAGACTTTATTCAAATAATCTAAAAATTTCATTTTAGGGTAAATGAAATACGTATTGACTGTAAAGAGGAAAAAAAATAGATAATTACTTTTTTTACATATTTTAACAATATGTAATTACAACTGTCATTAATTAATGTTACTGCTGATAAAGACTGAGAGAAGATCGTTATCAACATAAAATGCTACAAAAACAGGAAGTAAGTAATTTACGATCAATCTGTACTCTGATAATTGCAAACTAATCAGTAGATTAAAATCGATTTTTATTAATTACTTAATGAGAACTGAAGTGAATTTTTAAATTTCGCAAGAGATTATTTCAATTTAATTAATCTCATGAATTCCATTTTTAACCACATGTTTCAAATTTTGAGCAAATAAAATAATATATTCAATATTAATAAATTGATTTGGAAATGCAGGGAGTGAATTGTTTACAAATGCAAATATTTTTATATACAGGGTGGTCCGAACTGTATTCCGGAAACTTCGGCAGCATATTCTGCAGATAAAAATAAGTAAAAAAGTTCCTATAAATGTATGTTCTAAAATACTTAATTTCGGAGATACAGGGTGTAGAAGTTTGATTTTTATTTAGATTTTTTCCAAATAATTTCTGAAGTAACGTCAATATTTGGATGAAAATTGGTGTCTGGGAGTTTTTTGACATGAGAAATTTGATTTTGATGTCAATATGACTCCTATTTGCAGTGGGCGTTACCTACAGGTGTTTTAACTGTTTTGAAGAGTAATAACTTTTCGTTCGTACTTGTATAAAACTACTGAGTGAAAAAATATACATTTCCGAAACATGTTGAGTAGATAGGTAGTTATTTGACTGAAATTATAAATTTAGGAACTTTTTGTTTTTTTAATTAATCATATTTTTTTTTTGAAAAAATGATGATAAAACAGTTTCTGTTGAACTTTTGACACAAAAACATTTCATATTTATGATTTCAGTCTAATAACTGAGGTGCCCGGTGGCGTAGAGGTACAGGCTCTCGTCTACCAATCTCAAAGTAGTGGGTTCGAATCCCATACCCGGCATTTCATCAGCCGACTATTTTTATTAAAATAAAATTAGTTTGGGTACCTAGGTCGACACAGCCTTAAATGAGTACTTGGGATTCACAATCCTGAGGTAATAATAGGCGGTTGAAGCGTAGTGCTAGCCATATTACCTTTTTTGTATACCGAACGGCTCTAGTATGGCAAGCTGTACCTTGCTACTCCCAAGGCGTTAAACGCTATATACGGGATCTATTATTATTATAGTCTAATAACTATTTAGTCAACATGTTTAATTTATGTCAATCATGACAACTATATTGATAATTTTAGATTCCAAATATCTCGAGAACCGTTACTCATAGCAATTTTTACCAAGGGATCTTTTTTGCGTTAATGTAGGTGGTGCCCTCTACAAGCACGAGTCATATTGACATCAAAATTCCTCATGTCAAAAAATTCCTAGACACTATTTTTCATCCAAATATTGACATTACCTCAGAAATTATTTGGAAAAAATCGAAATAAAAATGAAACAACACCCTGTATCTCTGAAACTAGGCAGGCATTTTAAGACATACATTTATACGAACTTTTTTACTTTTTTTATCTGCAGAATATACTGCCCAAGTTTCCGGAATACAGTTCGGACCATCCTGTATAATTGCTCTATTTTGTGACGTGAAATTATTTTTGAAAAAGTATTATTGCGGCATAGCCCTGGGGAATTTTTTCAATAGATAGCAGTGCCTTTAAACGTGCATTTTGTGACTGTGTCATATTTAAACCAGTATGCCTCATTTTTAAGCAAATATGAGATTAGTCTTGATCATCTGCTGATGATGCTCACATGGTTAGCGAAACGCACGTCCAGTGTAAAAGTAAAAGTGTTTTTATTATGTGTGTATTGTGTATTTATATTAGTGTGTATTGTGGTGATTTAGTGTTTTATTTTGCTGTGTAATACCAAAGGTTCCAACCCCCAACTGTAATATTAATGGTTGTAACTAAGAAAAAAACTAAAAGCTTTGAAAGATGTCTCATTTTTATACCACTTGACCCTCATAAATTATGAGTTTACTACTTATTTTTATCTTTCAATAAGACCAATCATGAAATAATTATTTAAAATATATTTCTCATATGCGTAGTGGCATTTTGAGGTTTCAAATTTATGTAACATAATTATTCATTTGGCCAATTAAATTCGTGAATATCCGATATTAATACTGAAAGTGCCCCGAAGAAAATGTAATTTATTAGAGTATCGGGAAAACTGTAAAACAGTGGAAATTGTATTACGATAGCAATTATAGAATTTCATGAAAATGAATTAATCTTCATCACTGAAATCCGATAAATACGTTTAAAATCGAACAGCTTCAATAATTTTGTAATGGCTTAAATACACGCAAATTTCAAAGCTTTTTGAATGCTTTTAATTATTCCCTTAAGCTGTGCCCTTGTCCTTGAATGTTTACTTTAAACTATTTTGTTTGCATTAAATTAACTATGATACTATTTATTTTTTTTTAAATATTTTCTATGTAGAAAAATTCTCTTAGGTTAGGTTTGGTTAGGTTGCTGGGATCCTGTTTGAATCCTCACTCGGAGGCCTTGGGACCATTTGCGATACCCCTGTTATTGTTGTACCAAACCTTCCTCTTATTCTTTCTTTGCGTTAAAGGACTTCCAGCTCTTTGCAAAGTTCTCGATGTCGCTGATGTTGGCTTCTGCCGCTTCCTCTAATCCCTCCAAGAAGCCTTGCCCTAAATGCACAGCAAATGATCTATGGTTTTCTTCTTCCTCTTCGCATTCATTGCAGTAGTCGTCATTGGAAATCTTCCATCTCACGAGGTTTACCCTTATGGTGCAGTTTCCAGTGATGACACCTACAATTATGCGTACTAGGTTCTTTCTAGGTAAGGTAAAGGTCAATTACAATACGATGACTATCTAGTGATCTACAGCGGAGTTGAAAAACAAACAAGGGCAAAAGAAGGAGTAGCAATCGCAGTAGCATGAAAGTACCAATCAAACATACGGGACTGCAGTTATGTATCCTCGCGAATCTTGGTCGTAAGAATGGAAACAGAAGATCAAAAACTAAATATAGTGTCAGTTTACTCACCTGAAGACAATAAACCAAAACAAGAAAGGGAGTCATTCTACGATCAACTCCAAAATACAATTCAATCATTGCCAAGCGATCAACAAATATTAATTCTTGGAGATTTCAATGCCCGCATCGGAAATCAAATAATCCCTGGAATCAAGCAGAGGTTTAATGAAAATGTACTGAACGACAATGGAGAACTTATGATCGACTTATGCAGATTCAATGAACTACGTATTAACAACACATTCTACGACCATAAAGAGCAACACAAATTCACATTTAGCAATACTAGAGGCCACAGATCTACAATTGACTATATTGTTACAAACAGATATATACATCCACTTCAAATATTAGATATCAGGACGCTGAACTCAGCCGATGTAGGAAGCGATCACAGTCTGTTACTTGCAAAAATCAAATTAAAATTTAAACCTCATAAGAAACTAGGACAAGCAACTCAAGAAGTTAAGATAAACATCGAATCGCTATGGGACTTGTCGATTAAATAACTATATGAGAAAAGACTGACAGAGAAAATCCAAGTAAACCCAATAAAAGCAGAGGATAGCATAAATACCTCCTGGGAGAAACTAAAGAACAACATCAAAGAGGCCGCATGTGAAGCTTTAGACATCCTATAAAAAGAAATAATAGCACCAAAATAAATAAAACTCCGTGGTTCCGCCCAGAAATTAAAGAAAAATGCAGAGAGAAAAAAATAGCATACCTCAACTACAGAACATTACGCACACGAGAATCATTCGAAACATATAGACGAATCCGAAACGAGACAACAGCACTAGTAAGACATACAAAAAACCAACATTGGGAAATTTTCTCTAAATGAATGGAGAGTGACTTCTACGGACTTCAAAAACAAATTTGGCGCTTTATAGGAACGCAAAGAAAAGAGATTAACGAGTGAGTTGAAACAAATCACATAGCAAGGGAATCCTGGATTGATTATTTGTCAGAACTATACAAATCAGAAGAAATAGAGGTTGAACTAAATACACCCGAAATAATGACCAACGACAACGTACAGATTGAGGCAGCCGATATAATTACATCTCTTCAAAAGCTAAAGAATAGGAAGAGCCCAGGGCAAGATGATATCCCAAACGAATTACTTAAATATGGCGGCCAAAGTCTCATAGAGCAGCAACATCCCTGATTCAAAAAATTCTTTACCAACACAGGATACCCGATGAATGGCGAACCAGCACCACTATCTTGATGTTTAAAAGAGGAGATAAGAAGCTGCCCTCAAACTATAGAGGCATAAATCTTCTAAGCACCACACTAAAACTTACGACAAAAGTGATAACAACCAAAATAAACGACTTAACATGCTTAGCAGATGAACAGCAAGGTTTCAGATCGGGCAGATCATGCACAGACGCGGTTTTTGTCATAAGACAGATAACAGAAAAATCAATCGAATATAACAAACCAGCGTATATGTGTTTTATTGATTTAGAAAAAGCGTTCGACCGTGTGCAGCTAAGAGACGTTGTACACCTTCTTTACAATAGGCAAATCCCACACAACCTCGTTAAAACCATACAAAACATATATGAAGCGAACCAAATTCAAGCTAAAATTAACGGGGTCCTGACCGAACCAATAAATGTAGGCTGTGGTATCCGACAAGGTGACTCCCTGAGCCCTCTTCTTTTCAACATCATTATGGACGAAATAATAGGAAATGTACGTTTACTGAAGGGATACAGTATGGGCGACCAGGAAATTACTATTCTATACTATGCCGACGACGCCGTATTGGTAGCTGAAAATGAGAACGATCTACAGCGCTTATTACATCGATTTAATTGCACTGCCAAATCACTTATTATGATAATATCGACTCAGAAAACTAAATGCATGACGACATTAAAAGTACCACTAAGATGCAAACTGGAAGTCGAGGGCAATGTTATTCAGCAAGAGATGAAGTTTAAGTATCTAGGCATAGAAATCTCAGGATATGGTGATGTAGAAGCGGAGGTGCGAGAACGGACAACGAAGGTAACCAGAATAGCAGGATGCCTAAATGATACAATATGGCGAAATAAAAACATTGAGGTGGAGACTAAAGCGAGAATTTACAAGGCAACGCTACGACCAATAATGACATACACTGCAGAAACTCGACCTGATACAGCGAAAACTAAACAACTACTAGAAACAACCGAAATGAGAGTACTACGCAGAATAGCTGGAAAGACGCTTCTGGACAGGAAGAGAAATGAAAGCATAAGAAGAGCGTGCAAGGTGGAAAATGTAAATGAGTGGGTACTCAGCAGAAAGGAAGAATGGAACGACCATATCAGCAGAATGGACAACAGAAGGATAGTGAGAGTTGCACGCGACAAATCACCGCTAGGTCGCAGAAGCTTAGGACGTCCACGAAAACGATGGAGCGACAACTTGTCAGTCTGACCGGTAGAGACGACGAAACCAAACAGGCGATTCGCCTAGTATGAAGAAGGAAGAAGAAGAAGAAGAAGGTTCTTTTTGTGCTCTAGTAGTTGTAGCGCAGTCCTCACGATATTACCACGTCTTCTGCTGCTTGGCCTTGATTGTAGTTTCTATAGCTTCCTTCAGTGAGTTGATCAGGGGATGACACTTCTTATGGGAGAACTGCCAATGGTTTAAAACTTGGCTACACTACAAGCGATTTTCTAGGAATCTTCCTTGTCGATAAATTAATGACAAGAGTGACAGATAAAACCTTGACGATCTATCAGTAATTGAGTTCATCTGTGTTTTGTTCTAAAGTGTGAGTTGAAAGGAGACTAACATTTTTTGGTGACCGATAATTTGTCATTCGAACACCTTTTTCTTCCTTGTTGGAAGTTGTCTTGCCGCCATTTTAGTTTTTTGTTTGCACGGTGCACTTTGCTTTACAAATTTAATACCGTAATTATTTAGGCCAAATATAGGTTTTTAATAAAATTCCTCGTACTAACGTGCAGGTAAGTGATGATAAATAATGTGTACTATTTTTTTTATGCTTATTGTCATTCTCCCGATTTAGGTAATAGAAAAAGATCATCGAATCAAGCTGCATTTTATGTTTGTTCATCCCAGAACTGATATTTAAATATATATTTTATGGATACCTTCCTAAATATCAACGAGATGAGCCATCGAAAGAAACGGACTATAGTACAAAACAAAAAGGCGATCTTTTCTCTTTCCAACTAGGATATTGAAATTATAATACTGTATGTTTGAAATAATCGTCCAGTTGGCTTAAAAATGACGATTGATATTTCCCATATAATTTTACTTACAAAATTATGATATATATCTTCATTTCTAAGCCATCTATGCCGCCGTTTTTTTCAATGTATTTTGTCTCTTGATGTGTAATGTGTACTTGTAACATCATTCTTTTAATTTTATTAATTTTTCGTGGAGAAATTATATTTCTGTTTTGTATTTGATATTGATCTTAAACATGTCTTTAAAAAATGAGTAGGTTTTTTTTATGTAAGTGATAATTGAAAATAAATAAAGAATTAAAATTTTTAATTTTTTAACCTTCCTGCCATACGTGACAATCTAGTCCGTAGTTCCTCCTACAAGCGATATTGGGGGCGCTAGTAGCAATAGGCTTGTCAACAGTGTCAAATTTAAACGTCAATTTTATTTTCCACTATTTAACGGGGCGCTTGCACTTCTTCCTGTGTTTTGTGGCGTTGTTCGTCACAAGTGGTGGGTCAGCTCGGCCTCTCCCCTGGCCCCCTCTTTGGCGGGACTGCCCGCTTCTTGGTTGCCCACCACATTTCTGTGGTCTGGCACCTAGCACAGAGTTGACGCAGCCAGGACAGTGCTTGTCGGCAGTCCATCACAGTTTTCGATCTCACTGATTGTATGGTGATGTTTCTTAAAGCGCACAAGCTAGAAAATGATTCTAGTAAAAAAACTATTAAATGAATGCAAGACTTGCAAGAGTCTTGTAACAAGATCAAGACCAAAAAAGGACCTTCCAAGACCAGCGACCTAAAAGATCTATTTTGTTTCTTGTTCTTGAGTTATAACTTCATCATATAGTCTCAGAGCTTTTAGAAAAGCTAGTATCTGACGCGGTTTTACAGAGGTTAGTTTTCCATCTCCGATATCAGTCGTACCAAAGTTTATGGCACGTATGGTTGTTCTCTCGGCGCACTCAGTGATGGGGTGTTCTGGTGTATCCCCATTAGCTTCAATCTAATGCGGTGTACAATGAGGAGACAGTGTTCTGTTAGAAACCTCGTGATAATCCGATGATTTTTCTAGGTCGTACATCCTGATAAATTTCTTCGAGTTCTTAAACCGTTGGAGGATTCTAGTTAGTGGTATGTTCGTTCCTTTTCTGGCCAGATCGTTTGCTTTTCATTACCTTCAATCCCTTGGTCAGAGTAGGAGGACTTTATTTTTTTTTGCCTAATTTGTTCAGCTTTTCTAGGCATTCTTTGACCAAGAATGGTTAGATATCAATGGTATGATGGTCACCAATAAGAATCAAAAATAAAATCCAGAGGATCCAGGACACAGCTCCGAGATAGCAATATTGGAATAGGAAAAAATATTACCTATCTTATTCTTTGAGCTCTTGAAGTTAGGTATGAAATTAAAAACAACAATTTTTGTAGCAAGACCTTAACAGACGCTACATTAGTTTGCATATAACTTCAAAGAATATCCGCTGGAAAATATTTAAATCTACTTTGAGAGTTATACGGGTATGAACTAACTTTTCTTAACTCCCTTTAATTACTTGACCTGGTTTTATAAATTCCAGGTTTCCATGTTTCTATTCCGCTTTGTTTTTCTGTCGAACAATACGTTTGGTGAACAATGCAACAATACAACGGTATTTGAATCGTTCATTATAATCTTATTTTAAAGCTGGAGTGATGACCTAGATTCGTATAATGTTTATAAATAGAAGTGTGAGGAATAATCCAGAATAAATATGATTAAGCTTGTTTTGGAATCGACGATGCTAAGATTGTAATATTTTGGTGATAAATTATGAAGGTTTATTAAAGGAATTATACCCCGTCATTGAGTGAAAACGACGTCATAAAAGGTTTAGAAAAACATTTTCGTATTTTTAATTAAACTATGGAAGGACTTAAATACACATTTTTTAGAGATTTGGTATGTTAAGGTACCCATTCACATACAGTTCGCCGGCAGTCAAGAACTATCGATTTGCATATCGTCAGTTAAGATTTCTCCATACACATACAGGCCTCCCCGCCGGCATTGCCTGCAGGTCTAAATCTGCAGGTTAGTTAAAAAAATTTTATACATTTTCTTCTTCACGCCTGTAGCATTAGATGAGCTCCGCAGAACAATTAAAAGTATTAAAAATAAATCTTCATCTGGGACAAGCCCATCAGTCCCACTCTCAAAATGTTCTCTGAACTTCCGGAATGCACGTTAATCTATCTTACTAATTTAATTAACGAGTCATTCCAAAAAGGAGTTTTTCCAAACTGCCTTAAGACAG